GCCTTGTACGTTCAGCTCCATCTGTTATTTAGAATCCTTGCGCGTCCTTGATTCCCGAAACGACTATCAGATGGACATTAAAACAATTGAATTTCGAAAACCCGGCGCATCCACCAAATTCATTTAAGACTAATAAAAAAAACATTTGTTTTTTTAATTTCTTTTAAATATTAATAATCATACTTACAACATTCAATTTGCACATTAAAACTAGCAATGGATAAAATTGCGTAATTGTCACATTAAAGCTAAAATTGTAGTTAATGAAATGAGTTTAGTAAAATGTATGTGAATCTCACTGATCATTCAAAAAAGGAGTGTTTTCACGGTTAGCTGAAAAACAAAATGAATAATACATATACACGTCTGTTGTTACATGAATGAGTAATATTTATATAAAACGAAAATTTTTTATGTTTTTTTTTGTACTTTTAATAAATCGGTGTGTGCCTTGTACGTTCAGCTCCATCTGTTATTTAGAATCCTTGCGCGTCCTTGATTCCCGAAACGACTATCAGATGGACATTCAAATAATTGAATTTCGAAAACCCGGCGCATCCACCAAATTCATTTATGACTAATAAAAAACATTTGTTTTTTTAATTTCTTTTAAATATTAATAATCATATTTACAGCATTGAATTTGCACATTAAAACTAGCAAAGGATAAAATTGCGTAATTGTCACATTAAAGCTAAAATTGTAGTTAATGAAACGAGTTTATTAAAATGTATGTGAATCTCAATGATCATTCAAAAAAAGAGTGTTTTCACGGTTAGCTGAAATGAGTAATATTTATATAAAACGAAAATTTTGTATGCTTTTTTTTTGTACTTTTAATAAATCGGTGTGTGCCTTGTACGTTCAGCTCCATCTGTTATTTAGAATCCTTGCGCGTCCTTGATTCTCGAAACGACTATCAGATGGACATTCGAACAATTGAATTTCGAAAACCCGGCGCATCCACCAAATTCATTTATGACAAATAAAAAAACATTTGTTTTTTTAATTTCTTTTAAATATTAATAATCATACTTACAGCATTGAATTTGCACATTAAAACTAGCAATGGATAAAATTGCGTAATTGTCACATTAAAGCTAAAATTGTAGTTGATGAAATGAGTTTATTAAAATGTATGTGAATCTCACTGATCATTCAAAAAAGGAGTGTTTTCACGGTTAGCTGAAAAACAAAATTAATAATACATATACACGTCTGTTGTTACATGAATGAGTAATATTTATATAAAACAAAAATTTTGTATGTTTTTTTTTACTTTTAATAAATCGGTGTGTGCCTTGTACGTTCAGCTCCATCTGTTATTTAGAATCCTTGCGCGTCCTTGTTTCTCGAAACGACCATCAGATGGACATTCAAACAATTGAATTTCGAAAATCCGGCGCATCCACGAAATTCATTTATGACTAATAAAAAAAACATTTGTTATTAATTTTTTTTTAAATATTAATAATCATACTTACAACATTGAATTTGCACATTAAAACTAGCAATGGATAAAATTGCGTAATTGTCACATTAAAGTTAAAATTGTAGTTAATGAAATGAGTTTATTAAAATGTATGTGAATCTCACTGATCATTCAAAAAAAGAGTGTTTTCACGGTTAGCTGAAATGACTAATATTTATATAAAACGAAAATTTTGTATGTTTTTTTTTTGTACTTTTAATAAATCGGTGTGTGCCTTGTACGTTCAGCTCCATCTGTTATTTAGAATCCTTGCGCGTCCTTGATTCTCGAAACGACCATCAGATGGACATTCAAACAATTGAATTTCGAAAACCCGGCGCATCCATCAAATTCATTTATGACTAATAAAAAAACATTTGTTTTTTTAATTTCTTTTAAATATTAATAATCATACTTACAACATTGAATTTGCACATTAAAACTAGCAAAGGATAAAATTGCGTAATTGTCACATTAAAGTTAAAATTGTAGTTAATGAAATGAGTTTATTAAAATGTATGAATCTCACTGATCATTCAAAAAAAGAGTGTTTTCACGGTTAGCTGAAATGAGTAATATTTATATAAAACGAAAATTTTGTATGTTTTTTTTTTTACTTTTAATAAATCGGTGTGTGCCTTCTACGTTCAGCTCCATCTGTTATTTAGAATCCTTGCGCGTCCTTGATTCTCGAAACGACTATCAGATGGACATTCAAACAATTGAATTTGGAAAACCCGGCGCATCCACCAAATTCATTTATGACTAATAAAAAAAACATTTGTTTTTAAATTTCTTTTAAATATTAAGAATCATACTTACAACATTCAATTTGCACATTAAATGGATAAAATTGCGTAATTTGTCACATTAAAGCTAAAATTGTAGTTAATCAAATGAGTTTATTATCATTCAAAAAAGGAGTGTTTTCACGGTTAGCTGAAAAACAAAATTAATAATACATATACAAAAATTCAGATTTTAGTGAATTTCTCAAAAACTATAAATAATAGAAAAATATCTGAATATGCATATTGAAGCTAAAACTATAGAGAATGAAATGCACATTTTTACACGTTTACAGCAGCTTCGGTTATTGTACAATTTCCCGTCAAAGTTATACATTTTTTTCTTTTGTTTTAATTAGTGGTAATGTGTAAATCCGCAGCGCTCTTTACCAGTTAAAAGTGTCACCTTTGGGCCCTTCGGGATAATAAAGCCACGGTTGCACATAGATACGACAAAGCTTTCGGGTCGCATCGATTACGTAACTCCATAAATGAGAGAGACACACACACACTTACTACATAAATATATATATATATACGTACGAATGTTACACGTAGAAATTTGGAATTCAAATTTTCGCCTACATTTGCATCCATCGATTTAACACAGCCACCGCCACACCATCTACATACATATGTAGAGTTCAATATTTTTTTTGTGATATTCGCTGTTTCCATTGGACCATCTCCATTCGCATTCACACAAAATTTGAAATTCCCGCAAATATTTCTTTGTTTTTTTCTTACTCTGCGATTGGCCAGAGAACGTTGAACCAATTTTGTACGTGCCTCAGGTTTAAAATTCAATTGAATCGCTTCAACAGAAAATATATCAAAATGTTTCGTAATTACTGTAGTTCTTGTTTGCGAAAATCATACATATACAAAAAATCAGATTTTAGTGAATTTCTCAAAAATTATAAATGATAGAATAATATCTGAATATGCATATTGAAGCTAAAACTATAGAGAATGAAATGCATATTTTTACACGTTTACAGCAGCTTCGGTTATTCTACAATTTCCTGCCAAAGTTATAAATTTTTTTCTTTTGTTTTAATTAGTTGTATTGTGTGACACAGCCACAGCCACATCATCTACATACATATGTAGAGTTCAATTTTTTTTTTTGATATTCGCTGTTTCCATTGGACCATCTCCATTCGCATTCACACAAAATTTGAAATTCCCGCAAATATTTCTTTGTTTTCTTCTTACTCTGCGATTGGCCAGAGAACGGTGAACCAATTTTGTACGTGCCTCAGGTTTAAAATTCAATTGAATCGCTTCAACAGAAAATACATCAAAATGTTTCGTAATTACTGTAGTTCTTGTTTGCGAAAATAATACATATACAAAAATTCAGATTTTAGTGAATTTCTCAAAAATTATAAATGATAGAATAATATCTGAATATGCATATTGAAGCTAAAACTATAGAGAATGAAATGCATATTTTTACACATTTACAGCAGCTTCGGTTATTCTACAATTTCCTGCCAAAGTTATACAATTTTTTTCTTTTGTTTTAATTAGTTGTATTGTGTGACACAGCCACCGCCACACCATCTACATACATATGTAGAGTTCAATTTTTTTTTGATATTCGCTGTTTCCATTGGACCATCTCCATTCGCATTCACACAAAATTTGAAATTCCCGCAAATATTTCTTTGTTTTCTTCTTACTCTGCGATTGGCCAGAGAACGTTGAACCAATTCTGTACGTGCCTCAGGTTTAAAATTCAATTGAATCGCTTCAACAGAAAATACATCAAAATGTTGCGTTATTACTGTAGTTCTTGTTTGCGAAAATAATACATATACAAAAAATCAGATTTTAGTGAATTTCTCAATAATTATAAATGATAGAATAATATCTGAATATGCATATTGAAGCTAAAACTATAGAGAATGAAATGCATATTTTTACACGTCTACAGCGGCTTCGGTTATTCTACAATTTCCTGCCAAATTTATACATTTTTTTCATTTGTTTTAATTAGTTGTATTGTGTGACATAGCCACACCATCTACATACATATGTAGAGTTCAATTTTTTTT